CCCCAAGTAAGGCTTGCTGTTCATGAACACACCAATGACCAAAGAAGAAGTCAAAGCACCCGCTGTGCACACCATAGTCATGTCGCTTTGATTTGCCCTCTTCGCTCTTCAGGTTCTTGCTGGGACTATTCCAGCAGCAGGCCCTCACCTGCCACACTTCCAAGCTGAAGGCCTGCGGAGAGGATGAAGAGCGGGAAGATGTACCAGTTCTTCTCATCATGAATGCCGGGGTTGCATGGTGGCACCATCCAATTGAGGCTGCCATCCTCAGGGGGATCTGCCAAGCCATCATGCATAGGAATCCCGAAAATGGCCTTTAGTACGACATTCCGTGGAAAAGGAAGTTCCCTGTACCCAAAGCTCCCCAAGCAGGCCTCGTGTTGGCAGAAGAATGGGGACGGCAAAGGCTTCAGACTCCTGGCCAGCAAAGCACCGGCGGACATGATCCAGGCTACCAACAGGTAGGGCTTCCTTGGTTGACATGAAGAGTTTGGGTGTTAGGGTCAAGGGTTTTAGGGTTTAGGGGTTTAGACACGCGCATCGCACAGCAGTGCAGGCACGGTTTCAAGGCTTAGGAGTTAGGTTTAGGGCTGCGCTTCCTGTGGCTCGAATATTCAACACCCACCAGCGCTTGCATTGAATGCGCTCTGTGTAGTGGCCCCACTACATTGGGGCATATCTTCAGTAGAGGGCGCTTAGTATTACGGAAAAGGGATTGCGACACACTTACCTCTGGTTAGAGGAATGAAGGAATAGATTGCTATAGAGAACGCCCCATACCCTCCAATAATGTAGTAGATTCTTTCCTTTTCGTTCCTGCTAGACAGAGGAAACAACATGGCAGTTTCCGAAAATAAGGGGAACCAAATGTAGACCCCAAAATACTATAGTCCTCATTATAGGGACCCTCAACGCGTGCACCCCTAATTTCAGGAAACCCCCACATTGACAAGCCATGGCAAGCTTCCTGTTCATCCCACAAATGGGGAAGCAGTCGGTGATCAGGCCAAATGGGAGAACCAGCACTTGTGGGAGCTTCATGAGAGCCGTGATGGACGACATGACATAGGAATCTAAGCCCATGTAGCCGAGGAGGAAGCCATAGGTGATCCCATTCGTGATGGCATTCAAGAAGGCGAGGAAGAAACCGTTAAAGGCTATGCCAACAGTCTTCCATGTCCAAATGCTGATCGGTTCTTTATGGGGCTCCACCTTCGTCGAGGCATTCTCCAAGTCGACCGCCAAACCCGGGGACTCAGAGAACGGGGAGGTGTTGTCATGTTTGAGACTGCCCTCAACTGTGGTCGGTGAGAGGTAGGAGGCCGCCTGAATCATGGGTTCCCCTAGTACCCCCCTAGGTTCCCCCTGAATTAGTGTTATTAAGGGCTAATTCGGCCTAATTGAAGTTAATTAAGGGGAGCCTGGGGGGGGATAGCATAGAGGAGCGTAAAAGGGGAACCCATGACTGAATGATGGAAACGGCAGTGCAAGCAAGGCTTCTACGTCCTTGTTTCAGTTTTCTTTCCCCTAGGATAGCTGTTTCCTTGCAATTCTTGCAACAATACTGCAAAAGAGAGCTCTTCCACCAATACTGGAAAGGAAAGGACAATAGCATTGGTCTGACGGAGTTGAAGCAAAAAGAAGAAGCAGTAGCAGTAGCAGTAGCAGTAGCAGTAGCAGTAGCGGTAGCGGTAGCGGTAGCGGTAGCAGTAGCAGTAGCAGCAGGAGTAGGAGTAGGAGTAGGAGTAGGAGTAGGAGTAGGAGTAGGAATAGGAGTAGGAGTAGGGGTAGGGGTAGGGGTAGGGGTAGGGGTAGGGGTAGGGGTAGGGGTAGTAGTAGTCGTAGTAGTAGTAGTAGTAGTAGCAGTAGCAGTAGCAGTAGTGGTAGTGGTAGTGGTAGTGGTTGTGGTTGTGGTGGTGGTGGTGGTGGTGGTAGTAGTGGAAGGAGGTCGCCTTCTTTGGACCCAGGCAGCCAGCGTCGTTGACTTGGTCAAACTCAGGCTCCTTGGCACAAACAAAAGAATGCTGCGGTAGGGTTTAGGGTTTAGCCTTCATGGTTTACGTTTTAGGGTTCAGGTCGGAAGTCTTACACTGGAGCTCAAAAGCTCGAAGTCTATAAGTAATACCTACATTGGGGACTTAAAGTCTATAAATAACACCTACATGGAGCCTCCCTAAACCCTAAATCCCTAAACCCTAAACACTAAATCCTAGGCCCTAAGCTCTAACCCATAGGGGTTTGGAGACGAGGCTGGGGGTTCATGCTTAGGTCTGAACTTATCACGCCCCATTTTGACAACCAGCGATCCAGCGGATATGGTTCAGAGATACTTTGGGTGGACCCCCCAACCAGGAATAGTGACTATAAAGGATAATAAGGAGTATATTGGGGTCCTCTTATATTCTTATTATACCACTATTACAGGGTGGGGAGGGGTCCTCCTGAGGTTGGGTTTAGGGTTTAGGGTTCAGGATACTGGCGCAAAACAAAGTTCACGACCAAATTGCCTAGCCTCGGATGGGTCAGATGGCGTTGTGGCCCTTGTTGTTGAGAAGTCACCGAACCTAACTCAGCTTTCAATCTCAAAAGGAGATCCTAGTCCTCCACAAAAAGCCATGAAACCAACATAGCATTTCCAACTCTACACCAGAAACTTCGCGAGAGTTGACATGGCGAAGTAAGTAGACCAGCTGTGGCAAGGAGGATAAAGATCTCTGAGTTGTGTTCCTCCGAAGTCTCTTGAGCCCCAAAATGGCTGCGGTTTGAGAGAATGAGTGCAGTATTCAGCATAGGGTGAATACGGGCCCAAAAGTCAACAGCGTGACAAACGAACGTGCAGCAAGGAGTTTCCCCAAATTTGGTTAGCCCAATAGAGACCCCCAAATACTATAATCCTTATGATGGGGACACCCCAAAAAGGTACCCCTAGATTGGCTTGAGGTAGCGGATGCGGCGATTTGAGGCGTCACCCTAGGGATCGCAGTACAAGTAATACCAATACCGGAGAATCAAATGGAAAAGAAAATGGAAAATGAAATGGAAACTGGGATTATACACCAGGAACCTCCTTTGTACCCTTAATTGGGGATAATGGAAAATAAAATGGAAGCTACTTTACTGGAGAATCAAATGGAAAAGAAAATGGAAAGTTAAACGGACACCCTAGCTTCCCTGTAAAAGGGATATACAGAGATATTACCCCAATCAAGGAGAATCAAATGGAAAACATGGAAACTGGGGTTATATGGATCCCTAGGGTTTAGGGCTTGAAGTTTAGGGCAACCCTGGCGCTCGAGAACTGTGCTCTCGCTCAGACACAGGATTCTTGGGGGAAACCACGTTATTCACCACATACCCATACTATGAAAAACTCCAGTTCTCTAATAGCATCTCCAGAAAAGAAGTTCTAGCGCTGATTTCTGGACATCGCACTCCCCCCTGCGAATACTCTAATTTTCTGACCATGGGCCCTACGGGCCTGTTTCCTGGATCCTACATATGGGCCCTGAATTGAAGTTCTAGGGCTTCACAGGGCCTAGAATAGATATGTAAGGACCCCAGGATCAAGGGTGCATACTAAGGGCCAATGGCTCCTACCTTAGATATAGCCCTCACTTGGGTGCTCCGTGGCGTGTGCTATGATAAGGAAGACTATGAGAACATCTCTCAGGCCAGGATCCTAGGGATATATAAACATGAATCCGTATATATATGTATATATATATATACATATCTCTCTCTCTCTCTCTCTCTCGCTCTCTCTTTATCTCTCTCTCTCTCTCTCTCTCGCTCGCTCTCTCTATTGACACATACTATACATAGATAATACAGAGGTCTATATCTATACACATAAGTATACATGGACATGTCTAAGGCCGCGAAGTACACGAACAGGATGCAAATCCAGACCGACATGCAGGAACTCGGATTCCGAAATCGTTGGCCGCCAAAGATCTTCAAATGCACAGCTGGCAAGAGAAGTGATAGGGTTGGGCATGTCCTGAATCCCCACTGCTCCCTGTGTAAACCCTAAACCGTACAACCAGTCATTGGGCAGTCTTTGTTATACTCGTAAAGGTCACTGGCACCATCATACAACACCCGCATTGACCGCCTTCCCCCATATAGTCACCCTGAAGTAGATAGAATATGGGATATATGGGGATCCTATTATAGTATACCCAAAGCCATATTCTATCTACTTAAGGGCGACTATAACTCATAACCACAAAAAACTCCCAGCCTCCCCAGCATTACTCCACAGGAATCTGTTCCGGTTCGCAGGAAAAAAACGTAAGTTCTGGATGGGCAGGGGAGAGCGCGCGAGCTACCATCATACCGAGTAATATGTAAAAACAAACATGCCAGCCAGTTGAGGAAACGCTCTGTCCCAACATTGCTCCAAGGTCGCAGCTAAGTTCAGCCAAAGAGCAAACTTGACAGAAACATGAAGACCTAGACCCTCCAACTCCCCTCTATTTAGGCCTAAATGCCCACTACTAGGGGCTCTATAACCCAAAATAATGAAGGGTACTAGGAGGGTCATGGGTATCTGTGAAAATGCAGAAGTCAAAGTCTGAAACCGCTACACGCGAGGTCACAGTTGACCATGCTTGGCTTGCATTTTTGCTTTTTGTTTTGCATCTTTTGCTTGCTCCCCAGCTGCGTGCAAGTACAGACAGCAGCACCCGCCACATGTTAAAGGTCATGCATATGAAGGCAGGAACCAGTACGAGATGGCTGTCTCAAGTTCTCTTCAACTAAGACTGGAAATTGCATTCCACTTCATTGTCGCTACCTTAACCTCACGAATCAGAAAACACGTGGCCCACGGGCCACTACAACAAGGGCCCCGAACCCCCTTGCTGTGCATACGCTTGCTGTCCCAGCCCGAAACAAAAAATTGTTCTAAGTACTCTTGGTCTCCAGGTATATGGTTTTGCATGTTGGCCCACTTCGCACCCGAATTCGCAAACGCAAGTACTGAAAAGCTGAGGAGCGGAGGCGCGGAGTAGATGTAGGCCATGAAAACACCTTGTCCAATTGCTTGCGACTCGGTCAGGCTTTAGATGGCTTTAGCACTTTTGGGTTACGTCTGTACCATAGTTACACGAATCGAGTCCCACATGCCTGCGAAACTCAATGGAGGATACATTGCCAAACCTGCGCTGAGAACTTAACACTGCAAGACGACTGTGTAAATCTCTCAGGCTTCGGCACCATGGTGGCTTTCTCACGGGATGAGACGCGCAACAACGAGTAGAGGTTTTCAAATAGGCTTACACATGCGCATCCGTGCCCTCATCTTGCGAAGCTTGATCAAGCAAACATCAACCCTAGACACCAAACTACGAAACTGTAGCCAGACTTCTGCTTAAAGTAACCTCTATCAAGATCCTGATGAACTCCTGACAAAAACTTTGGAGATCACAAGGCACATCAGGGAGGTCTGTCACTGAAAAACAAAGGACAACTAAGGACAACCAATGCTATCCGCAATCCCTCAAAGGTTTCATGTGGAATGCTCACCTTCAGCTACTTGACATACTGCGTGTGAGGGTGATGTACTGAGCACTCTCTACGCCTGTGGCCTCCCAGATTCAGGAAACGGGCGGGCTGGGAAGATGGTGTAACAACAGTTTCAGGTGCAGGAAAGACTTCTAACAACCCTTCGCTACTGGTCCATTATCTCACTGGTGGTTAGTGGGAATGAGGGAATATAGTTCCTGTGTAACTAGTTCCCATCTCCAATAAGCTATTTATTCCCCTTACCTGGAGCTAACTTCTCAGCGAAGATGCCCACAACCGCCACGGCAAAAACAGTGGGAGGCCAATGTCCTTGCCACACATCCTGCGCGATCAGCGCCGTGCCCGCAATCTAAACTCCTAGTACCCCCCCTTAATAACCCCATACTTGTCCCCTTTCCCGATATACGCCCATTTAAGGAGTTTAGCCTATTACGCATCTCAATGCCACACTAGACAAATTGTAGTTCAGCGTTGGAAATCAGCAGCTGCTTGATAAGTTTTCAATGCGAAACGCTATGCTGCGAAATGTCCGCAATTCCCGCTCCAGCACTTCCCAATGGCATTACATGGCATTGTAATCCCCTCCCCATAACATTTAACCCTCAACCACCGTAATATTCATATTCCTATTGTGGTATACTAAAATTAATAAAAATGAATATTGGATACTAGGGGGGCGGCGGGGGGGTGGGGATAATCTTAGGGGGAGAGGGTTAATTGTTATGACACAAAAAGATGTGAACTGCTTGTTGCTGGAGCAAGACACTCCAAGCTGGCAATTCAACTCACACATTGCCCGGCCGCAGCCAAAGACAATAATCCATGATACAAAAACCATGACCGCGATTCCGAGCCCCCTGCAAAGCCCCGGATATCCCTTCGCAGGCCCGGATCGCGGTATAGATCCAACCCCTTCTGACCCCGCAAAAGCCTGAAGAGATCAGCTTGGGTCCAGCTTCGCTATCAGGAAACCTCAAAACTAACATAATATGGTATATTATCGTATAATATTGTGTACTAGAATATAGTATAGTACGTTACAGTATATTATTTTGATCTGCCACCTATTACATCCCAGTACGCATCCTTCTACTTGAAGTATATGTAGCGTTTACGGTTCAAGGGGAATCTGTGACAGGAACAGCTGACAAGTTCACCAAATATTGAGTTGCTGCAAGAACACTCCCCGCACATGGCCTTAAACAGTCAATTCATGACCCCATCAATGACCAGTGACCAACCTGCGAACATACGTATACGTGTGTTTGTGCCTGTGTATGTGTACCTATATGCATGCACACGTGACTGCAGTTTACACATACGCGTCGTAGAGTAGTCCAAATCGACAGTTGGTTAGAAGCTTTGAAAAGTAGATAGACATCCATCCATACATACCTTACAAATCTGAATATATACGCCGCCTTGAAGCCCTAAGCCCTGAAACCTAAACTCTAACCCTGGAAGAGTCCAGTATGAGAGCCATGGTTAAGCCAGCGCCACCCAAGACGTAAATCTGCTGCCACACTTCCTCCTGGGGATTTCTGGGCCCAAAACCCCTAAACCCTAAACCTCTCCCCTCTAAACTGAGGTAGAGAAAGATTTTGGGGGATATGTTTGTAGGGAAAAGGGCAGAGAGTTTAGGGTCCAGTCTGGGGGTTTCTGAAGGCTTAATGAGGCTTGTAAGGGGATTATGGAGGTCCCTCCTCGGGATTATGGTGGTCCCTCCTCTCGCCAAGCTCTTGCAGCTTGCGAACTATGGGGGACCCAAGGACTTCTCAAACCTTTAGATACGGAGCTGCTTGGTTGTACTAAGTGTTCATCTAACTGTTCATCATGGGATGAGATAATCTTGGAGAACTTCAGATTCCCTCAGACTTTAGGGTTTAGGGGTTGGAGGTTAAGGGTCTAGGCAAAGAATTGGGTTGCCAGTCGCAGTGCCAATTCAAAGCGATCGCAGGGCCTCCGTGATGCGACCAGATGGGATGGGGCGGTAGGGCTCATTGATCGCATCCAGATCCTTGTCGTACCAGTCATTCAAGGTTTGCCTCAGGTTCTCAAAATTCCAAGGCCCTTGGCACAGCTGATGTCTATACCACCGAATATTCAGAGATTCGGGAAAAACTCTTTTTGCAAGGTAACACAGGATCACTGAAAATTCGTGTGACTGGTAGTTTGTTCGGGGGGTACCATAGCCCCCGCTATAGAGTAAGGTTATATCCTCCTTGTGGGCACGGTATTCTCTGAGAAGAATATGCCAGGTTCAACCACCAAAAACAGCTATTCATCAGTGCGGCATCCTTAGATGCATGGCTGCAATGCTCAGAATCCGAAGACAGCGCTTGCGGCTCAAAGCTTGGCTACCAAGCACGTCTGGGGTGTTCCAACAGGACTCTGCTGGCTTCTCTGCTTTGACCCTGGATGGCCGTCCTTTTTTGAGCGGTCCTATGAATTTGTAGGGTATTCCCAGAAAAAATGTGGGACGCCCAGGGTCAAGGTAATGCTACAAGTTTGACCGAGGGAGGGTAGTTGTGGTTGACTGGCTTCTGCGCGACCAAGGTGCGTGTAGCCAACCAGGACAGGGCCCGAAAGCAGGACGCACAAGAATAACCTCAGCCAAACAACCCAGAGGGTCCAAGTACC